GATTTTTAAATAAGGTTATGATCTTAACATGCTCCCAAGTTCAAGCAACATAGCTAGAACACAGCAGACCCTTGAGTGGAAGGGATTCTTAAGTATGCTCCAGTCAAATTTACATTCAGTTTATGGGGTTCCTTCTAGCATTCCTGACACCTGGCCACCCAGATTCTGTATAAACAATTCTGATAGACTAGACGTGAAACTCGTTCAACAAAGCAGACCACATGTGTTTAGACAGTTTTAATTATTCCATTGTACTTTATCCACCAGTTCTAGGCTTATCAAGGGCATCGGTTTTCAAACTGGGGTATAAATACCCCTGGAGCTGTGTAAGGACTTTCTAGGGAGCACAAGAGCATCAGCAGCTCAAGGAATTCACTTCCAGACCCTCCACTGCCACACATAACTGTGTCCCAAGTTGGGAAGCTGGAAAAGATGGTCCCCTCCACACCTGCATTTCACTCTGCGTGACATACCTTTTCCCCAGCCCGAATCTCCCTCCTGTGTCAGAACATGTGGACAAGACACAAAGGGATGGTTTTGAAGTACTTGGTTCCTGAAAGGGTATTCTGCGGCTAAAAAGCTAGTGGGGTGAGAAATACCAAAGATAGCAGTGTGTAACTCCATCCAGAGAACAAGCCCCTCTACAGCTCTATGATCCATCATCCATTAATCTATTTATGAATTAGAATTAAGAGGTGAAATGGCTCTTGTAAAAACACATTCTTCAAGTTGGAAAATTAGGTCAGGCTTTTTCCAACATAAAGTAAATGTAATTTGGCTGATTAGTCTGGCAATGAGGACTGTTCTCGCCAATTGGATTATAAGGTGTACATTTTCCATAAAGTGAATGATAAAATCTGTTCTACCAGGTTTTGACAAAAATATATTTACTGAACAGAGATAGCATGGTATGCACAGGAAGTTGAGCCCTTTAACCTCTTAAGTGTATGATAAAATTGCTTAGAGACCACATTAAAACGATGCAAGAGGGATATCGCTTTTTAAAATTCTTTCATGTGAACATGAGCAAAGAGAGAACTTCTGTAGTGAACGGAATACTAAGTTCCTTCATCCATACCATAGACCTCTGAGTACATGAAGAAGACCACTCATTTCTCCCTTGCACAGTGGTCCTCCACTTTGACCCTCCCTGATGACCCCAGCCATTCTTGGAAGTGCATGTTCCTGGGCATCTCCAAGATGGGAAGGAATCAGTAACCCCAGAAAGGCTCAGCTCTGCCTTCCCTGAGTTGCGGCTCACACCCCAGCCTGACCCCACTGAAACACTCAGGCTGGGCAGCTGGCTGGACACAAGGACTACAGCCACAGGCCCCCCATCTTCCAGGAAGCCAGCAAGTGGCTTAAATGGAGCTTGTTACCCTAACTCGGGCTAATCTTCAGCTGTCAGGAGTTGCTGTGGCTGCCTCAAGTCACAACCTAAATGGACGATCAAAAGAAGGAGCCCAGGGGGAAAAAGAGAGGCTGAGGGAAAATAGGTGTGTATTCGACTCTGTTGAAGGTGAGCGTGCACCCACAAACGAGGCCTCACAGCAGGGTGGTCAGTAGGGTTTCACATGCCTGGGGCTTCACACCTGCAGTGGGATGCCATTCGGAGAGAAAGAAGGACCCTGTTCTCCACCATGTTCTCTGCCCCTTGCTGTTATCACCAGCAGCATGCACAGTCCTGGCCAAACCCTGCACATAAATCTAGAAGTTTCTAGAGTATAGTCTTCCAGGAAAGGGCTGATCCAACGAGAGCAGAGTTGAAAGTCTTAGCTTCACATCATCTAACTAGAATTTTTTAATAAATTGAAGAAAGAAGTCATAACTTCCCAAAGCAATAGCCAGGCTCCTGAAAGAGCCCTCCCGAGACACCCTGCATGTTGACTCACACTCTGCAGGCCACCGTTGACTGCCGGAGCATCAGCTGAGCCTGGGTGTCCCTGGCCAGGATCACAGCTGTCATCGCAGCAACCCCACTTCTAAAATCTCCATCTTCTCCAATATGTAGCCAGCTGGTTTTGTTGATGATGATGTTGTGTTGTTGATTTTTTCCTGATTCACAACTCCTGCTTCTTGGACTGGGCTGCACTGGATGGTATAGCACACCTGCCTAACCCAGGGTTCCATCCCAGCACTGAAAGAAGGGGGGGGGGGGAATTGCCTGCTCCTTCTTTCATTCTGTTCAAAAGTGAAAGTTTCTGTTTTCTATCTGATAAAAACTTCTAGCTACAGAGCAGAGGTGACAGCAGAGGAAACATCCTCCTCCCCCTGACAGCTCTCCCTCCCAGGCCAGGTGCCCTGGCTCCAGGTACGTTCCAGGCTCACACTGAGGACAGGGTCCCAGGACCCCCTGGGAAGGGCTGCTGTCTGGAAGCTCTTTAATCATATCCTCCCCCCTTCAATCCTTATATTTACTTTTTTCACCTTATTTCACAGGCCAGAAGCTTGAATGCAATGTAATAATGAGAATCTTTACGCCATTGTTCCCCTCAAAAGGGAAACTCTCACTTGTTCCAGTGTTCAGTAGCATGTTACTGTAGGTTGTCAGGTAGGAACTCTATCAACGTAAGAAAGTGTCCTTTCCATTCCTAGTTTGCTAAGAATTTCTTCTTTTAATGAGAAATGGACTTGAAATTTTTCAAAGGCATTTTTGCATTTATTTAGATAATCATGGGATTTTTGCATTTGGTTGATTTATGTCATGAATTATATTAACTGATTTTTTCCTCTTTTATACCAATTTTATTTCACTTAATTTGTATACACATAAAATATGTATATTCCATTTGAGAAATAATTACAAAGGAAGCACCTCAAACCAGGTTAAGAAACAGTACCTTATAAATTCACTGTTTTGCCTTGCTGATCAGATCTCCTACTTTACTCCCCAGATGTAATCATACTTATCACTTTTGTGACAATTTCTTGCTTTAAAAAAAAAATAGCTGTACTCTCATGTATGCATTCTTTTGACACCATACATTTGCTTTACTTTTACAAAATATTTTATTTCATTTTTCATTTTTAATTAACTTTTAATTGTGGAGAAATACGTATAATGTAAAATTAGCTCTCAACCATTTCTGAGTGCACAGTTCAATAGGGCCAACTATACTGATGCTGTTGCACAACACATCTCCAGAACATCTCTTCTTGCAAAACACTGACCTCCGATCCCTCCCAGTTCACGCTCAACTTTCCGTATTTATGCATCACCTGTCCAGGTACCTCATATACATGGAATCATAGAGCACTCGTCATTTTGTGACTGGCTTCTTTCACTAAGCAGAATGTCAAGTTTTGTCCACGTTACTAGAATGTCATTTCAAAAATATGGAATGCTTCACCAATTTGCAAGTCAGGGAGAGTCTTTAATCGTAGTCTTCTGCTGTGTCATATTTTAAACAGTGAAACAAAACGTAAACTGAAGTCCGCTGAGGATGAAGGGACGGTGTCCAGAGTCTCACTGTCCCCAGCACGCCTGCTCACAGTGGGAACAATACTCGGGGCTTGGCTGTACGAAACCTGTCTTCTTATTTTTCAAGAGGGATTTAAAAGATAGAAAGCACAAATAGAATGTTCTGGAATTCAAAGTTTCATGCCAAGCAACAGGAGCAAGGGAAAACGGGCCACTGACGGTACTCTAGGCAGCGCTGGGCAACGAGGACGCAGCCACCCAGTTCTCTGGTCACCACCCACCCGCAGAAGAGAAGCCTGGAGAAGTTCCTCACAAGGAAGCTCCCTTGACCACGAGCCCTAGGCCACTGAGATCACTATCCGCCCTCAGCCAGCTGCCCGCAGGCTGTTCTGGGTTCTGTCATTTACACTCTGCACAGGTGTAAACCAGCCCCTGGTCCCATCTTCGGTGGGGCACTCCTGTCCCTCTCGCCGCTGAGCACCCTACCTTACTTGTATTCATAGCACATAGACATGTTTTAAGCATGGATTCTCCCTGACCCAGAATGAAACGCCATGGGAACTGGGTTTTGTTTCTTCTTCCTGCCCCTCCACGCCACACTGGATGCAGATAGCAGCCCCCACTTATTAATGGAGGACATGTTCCAAGACCCCAGGGGAGGCCCCAGAGCACAATGAACCCGTAGACGTGGTGCTTTTGTCTACACACTTATGATAAGGTTAATTGACAAATTACACATGGGAAGAGACAATAACTATTAACACCAATGATAATTACATAATAGCAATAATTATGAAATACAGCAATTATAATAATATATTGCAATAAAAGTTGGGTAATGTGGTCTCTCTCTTAGAATGCCTGATTGTGTGGTGCTCACCCTTCCTGTGGTGATGAGCTGATGTGCCTCCTGTGTGCTGAGATGAAGTGACCTGAATGAGGCAGGCATCATGACATTCCATTAGGCTACTATGTAAGGGTCACTTGATCACAAGCACTGCACTGCTGTGACAGTCAATCTGACAACCAAGATGCTTATGAGATGGCTAACAGGAGAGTAGCATATACAGGATGGATAGGTTGGACAAAGGGATGATCCCTGTCCTGGGCAGGACAGAGTGGGACAGTCTAAAATTTTATCTTGCCATTCAAAAGAGCGCACGGTTTAAAGCTTATTAATTATTTATTTCTGAAATTTTTCCATTTAATACTTTTGAAGCATAGCTCTCATTGGTCTAAAATCAAGGTGTTGTCAAGGCCACATCTGTTTGCAGGCTCCAGGAAGACACTGGTCTACCAAAAGTAGTATTGTGTCCTTCACTCTCCCTCCCCACCAAGAAGGGACAGGGATTAGACCTCCAAAGGACAAGCCTATAAAACTGATTTATAAAAACTTTCAGAAGGAGCAGAAACCAAGAATCCCAATCCCACAGGTAGAATGAAGGGGGTGGGGTTTTGAGAGCTGAGACATCCCCAGCTTTCTCCAGGGCATGCAGTACAGAAAAAAAGAAAAGGGACATCAGTGACTGTGATTCACAAAAGCTGGGCACTGAGCACTGAGAAGGTTTAGAAATGCCTCCATTTAGTTTGCTTATATTTTATCTTTCATATATACAGAAGAGGGAAATAGATTTCCAAGTCCACATCCAAAGTCTACAAGAGGTTGGCCAATAAACGTACAATAACAACTTCAACGACTAAAATATACTGGCTTCTGTAAACCCGAAACTCTCCTAAACTCTTCTAAAATCAAGTTTGTTTTTCAAAGAAAATAATGGTCTTAAATAAACTTAAAATAATGTTCTTAGATAAAATAATGTTCTTACGATTGCTGAAGAGATAGATTTGATGAAATATGGTATTCATGCTTGCTTTTGAGTCATTTTGCTACAATTGAGAGATAGTGAATTCTTCAAACAAGAAATAATAAGTTTTAAAGTTTTATTTTAGGTTAAAGATTTAAGGGGGGGGGGGAATTCCATTCCTTTACTACTTCTACACTAAAAGGAAACCAAACCACCTAAATCAAGGGAACACTATTCGAAGTTAATAATCTATTCTGAGACAGAATAACCAATGAGGACACTCTTGCGAGTGATGTCCTTCCATACTAAGAAACCACATCACATATTTGTTTCATATTTAAAGGGCAGATATGAGGGAACTGTGGGCTGAATTTTGAGAACGTACCTAGATCACTGAAAGGAGATACATTGAAACATAATTCACTAGCCTTTGAATGGGATTCAAAGGGTGCTCACAGGTTTTTGCATTTGAAAAATAACATGAGCTACTTCTGTATGGCCCAAGAGGATGGAGGAGCCAAAGCCCCTGAGCATCACCCCAGGAGAGCCTGTTCATAGACTTGTGGGGCTTCACTCCAGACCCTGAGAAATCCAGGTGCCACCCAGAGGGAGGAACCTGAGCCTGGAACTGCCCCGGCTGAATGAGTCAGGTCAGGGAGAATCTGCTGGCACCCAGCGAGCAGGCAACAAGTCCCTAAAGACAAGATGGACTGTGAACCCACTTGGTCCCCAAATGGTGCGACCCAGCCTTTGTCACTTTGAAAACAGCCATGAATACACTAAATCCACCACATCCAAGGATAGCTGTTTAAAGCTGGCAGCCTATGGGACAGACACAAGGCTCCTTTCATGCCCTTTGCTGTCCCCTGGGTCCCTATGAGAGCCCTTCTGTCACTATTCCATCTGCTGAGGCCACAGAGGAGATCCACAAACCTCTGTCCTCTGCTCTCTTGACATCTGCTCCTGCCATTCCTTCTCCCCGAAATTCCCTCCTCCTCCTCGCCTCATGGTGGAATTCTTTCCTTTAATACCTTCCTCTCTAACCAGTTGTTACCTTGCAGGTCTGGGATTTCCAAGGGGGTTCGGATTTCCTGAATTTCCTGTGCTTCAGGGAAGCCTCCTGCGGGGATCTCACTCTTGTGAGACAGCTGGCTCCACTCCAGTCTCTTTCTGGTTCTCGGTGTCCCCTCCAGGCCCCTTCAGTGCACTCATTCTGTCTCTCTGGCGGCAGTAATCCCTGGTCTTTGTCTCAACATAAGGTGTGACCCTCTGGCTCTGAGGCTAGCCTGAGGACAAGGGCTGATTTCACTCATCTCTGCACGGTGGTAAGAACAGAGAAAAGGACCCACTGGGCAAAGCATTTGTCTTTAAGGCAGGATTCCATTCGCAGCAGCCATCATCGCCCGCTAGGAGGTAGGCGGCACATCACGCTGGCGCCCTGCCTGATCCTCTGGCTCGCTCAGGAGCATAACCTACACACACAGGAGCCCAGCTCCAGTCCCCGAGCGAGGACTTCCCCTAGAAGGCGCCCACAAAACAGGGAATCTTAGCACGCGTGCCATTTTCTCGTTATGCCACCAGAGGGCCCTGTATGACTGCTGATGACAATGACATTGTCCCACTTGGAGAGTTTCACAGGCCAGAATGTGTTTTATAACCTTGAAGAATTCTCAAAGCATGGTCAATAATCGACATCAAGGCTGTAAAAAGAAAAAAAAAAAAAAAAGCTTTTATCTGGGTTCTTAAGAACTGAGGTTCCAAGACACAATTCCAGTAAAGCCGAGAAAGTGTGTTCCTGACTGGGAACAAAGGGCGGGGGATAACACATGCCTAGAGCCACCAGGGCAGGGGCAGGGGAGCCGCGAAGCCCCCAGTGCAGCTGACTGGTCAGTCTGGGTTCCGCGCTGCAGCCTGGGTGCAGACAGATGGCTCAGTTCTGGAATGTTCGCTCCCTAACCGAAGTGACTCCACCTTAGGTGGAATTTTACAAGATTTCATAAAGAAAATATGTCCTTGCTGTTATTCCTCGATTTTATTTGGAAAAGAATAAAAAATCCCCTACAAGAAACAATATAAGATTATCTACCAACTGGAACACACAGAGATGAAAAATTATAGAGGAAGGAAGAAAGGGAGAGAAGGAGGGAGGGAAGAATTAATGAATCTGGACCCAAACATGATATAAAATACAAACCTAACAAAGATAAAAACTAAATTTAAGAGCTAGAACTAAACTCAGAAAACAATACAGGAGCAAATCTTAAAGACTTTGGATTTGTCACCAGAATCTCCGGTGGCAAAAGAAGGAAGAAAAAAAACGGATAAAGTGGACATTATCAGAATTCTTTCCATCAAAAAGAAGCTAAGGAGGCTGGGGATATAGCTCTTGGTAGAGTGCTTGCCTCCCATGCACAAAGCCCTGGGTCCAATCCCCAGCACCACAAAATAACAAAACAAAAAGAAGCTAATGGGTATATTTTAAAGGTCAATTTAAAAGAAAGAAGAAGAAATATATAGAATGAAGAGTATGTAGAAAACTAGAAAGAGGAAATTAAAAGTCAAATAAGAAACCAGTTGCATCCAAACCTAGAGGTAGCGGGTTATTTCCTAGTAAAAATACACAATATTAAAATGAACTCTAAGATGAGGAAAACATAAATAGACCAATCAGGATAGAAAGGCTTGCAATGCTGCCAAGAGATCTTCTACTGGAAAAGGCCCAGGGCCATGTGGGCTCATAGCTGAGTATAAACGGACCTTTAGCAAATTCTGATTTTATTTAAAATGGTCAAGTCTTAAAAAAATGAAAAAGGTGACTTTCTTCACCTTGTTATTTAAATCAAAGCTTCTTACAGTTAATATATTTCATCCAATGTTTAATTTTAATATTTGTAAAACAGACATTGTTTTATGTTCCATTACAAATATACTGCCACCACCAATTAAACTGTGACTTTCTCAATGAAAGAAAAAAAATGTTGACAAGTTTACTTCCATGAAAGAAATAATATAAATTCTTAATAAATTCTACTTTGGGTGCAAATAATATATTCAAACTTAGCTATTGTGACAAATTTTAACATCTGTACTTTTCAATTTTTCAATATTGTTTCAACTACTTTTACACGCTAAGAAAAATGAACCACTAAAACATTAACAGAACCAGGAGACAGGTGCACACTGAGCTTTTCGCTGGGTGCTGGTGGAACTCAGCACCCACCCAACTTTCCCCTGGACTTCCCAATGTTGCATGGTAGCATTTCTCCTTTCTTTGGCAAAATACTTCTTGCTAAAATATTGCAGGAGGCAGCAAAGTTATGCAGAGTTCCCTTCCCAGCCCTGGGGGCCAACAGGAAGCGAAGTGTTGCCCGCACCTCACCTTTCCTCACATGGCCCAGGTGTCCCGAAGACGGGTGGCGTCTCCCCAAGTCGGTCCTGAGGATCACCACACAGCTCTGATTCTCAGCACGCAGGAGCGCTGATGCCTGTGGGCAGGATGCAGGGCCCTGGGGGAGGGTCCGCAGGGTCACACCGAGTCCTGCCGCCGGGCAGGCAGGCACCGCCCGGGGACTCCAGGCTCGCTGTTCCATGGTGATCGTGCGCCCCCTGCTGGCAGACCCGGTGAATTTCTGAAATTGAGCGTACTGATCATTCTATGTATACATTGTCAACTCGGGGTTAAACAGAACCCTCACCTCATGCCTGGACCCGAATGGATGGAGACAACAAGAAGTCAAGTAGATGGCCAATAGATAAGAATACAATTATTTCTTATAAATTAGCAATAGGGGAATAATTGAAATTTGAAATGAAAAAAAAATTTGCTGGAATACTCTAAAAGATGAAGTCCGTTAAGTGTCAATCTAACAAAATGTATACAAATTCAAATAACCTTCAATGGGGCTGTGAGAAGTCAAAAGAAATGTTAATAAGTATAGAGTTATTTCTTGTTCAGAAGCAGTATAATCATTAAGATGAAAATTCTTTCCAATCTCCTCTAGAGATTCAGCAAAATCCCACCTGAATTCCCAGCAAGGATACTAAGAGATGGGTCCTAACGTACAGTAGACAGACCACATGAGACCGAAGAAGAACAGTGTCCAAGAGTGTGCACACTTCCCATAAAACTACACAAAAGTGTGGCATTGGCCAGGGAATGGGTGGATAGATCAATCAAACAGAGAGCCAAACTGGAGCCATATAAATGTAGTCCACTGTATGAGTCAAAGGACTAAAGAGAACTCAGTGAAGAAAGAAATACACATTCCACAAATGGAAACAGAACAATTGGAAACCATATGGGGAAAAACGAACATAGGCACAAGTTACTCCAAAATTACTCAAAATATTCTGCAGACAAATTTCAAATGCAAAATTATAAACATCACAAAAAAGGAAACAGAAGAAAATCTACACGGCCTTGGGTCTGGTGATGAGCTTTTAGACATAATAACAAAAAAAAAAACAGTCCATTGGGAGAAAATGTGGACTTCATTAAAATGCAAAATGTCTATTCTGTGAAAAATCCTGTTAAGAATATTTTAAAAGCCACAGACTGGAAGGAAAATATTTGGAACCACATTTGAAAAAAGGACTTATATGCTAAATGTACAAATAAACTCCAAAACTCAACAAGAAGACAAGCAATGCAATTAAAAATGGTCAGAGGCTGGAAGGTAGCTCAGTGATAATGGCATGTGCTTAGCAAGAACCTGGGTGCAAGCCCCAATATTGCGGGCACGCATACGTGCATACACACACACATACACACACACATACATACACACTCACACATAGAATTAGTAAAGATATGAATGGACACCTCAACATTGAAGATATTCAAACAGTAAATAAGTATATGAAATAATGAAGATTTATAAAGATAAATAAGCACACAAAATAATGCTAAACAGCATTGACATGTTGTGAGGGGCTTGCAAACTAAAACAATAAGAGAGCACAGCACATCTATCAGAACAGCTAAAACTTTTAAAATTTAATACAATTGCACAGGAATTCTTCTTCCTCCTGGAGAGTGCATAATGGTACAGGTACCCTGGAAGATGGTTTGGCAGTTTTTTTTTCCCCAAAGCTTAACCTAGTTCACTGTATGACCCAACAATTGTAGTCTTAGGTATTTAGATAACTGCTTTGAAGTCCTAGGAAGGCAATATAAACAACAACCAAAAAAAACTGCAAGCTACAGACACAGTTCAAAATCTGACTTTCATAATGGTCAAACACTTTAACAAGTCGCATGACCCTCAGTAAGTGAGTGAGTAATCAAGCTGGGGTACACTATCCTATGAAATACTACTCTGTAAGGGAAAAGGATGAGCCATGAAGCCACACAAAGACAGGGATGAATCTTGGGTGCGTGTTGCTGAGTGAAAGAATGCAGTCTGGAGAGGCTGCGCTGTTTGATCACAGTTATATGACATGTTGGAAAGGGCACCCATGGAGGTGGTCACCAGATGTGTGTGCACAGTGCTGAGCAGGGGAACAGGATGAGAGAAACAGACCATATGGAAGCACATTCCTCTGGCTGCAAGAACATGCCAGGTGTGTGTGGAGAAGCTGGGGTACGTGGCACCTCTCACTTAAGGAGAGAAAGTCTTCCATCAGACATGGAGCTACATAGAGACCATTTATGAAAGGGGGTGGGTGGATAAGGGGTAAAATGTACATAAAATCTTACCATTTAACTTTTTATCTATTGTGGTAAAAGATACATAGCATAAAGTTTTCCTTTTAAGTTTACGTTTTTAAATTATGGTAAAAGGTAAATAACATGAAATTTACCCTCCAAACTCTTCTAAGTGTGCAGTTCAGGAGCATTATGTATATTTACACTGCTACAATTTTACACAACATTTATAACAGTTGAAATATTTACACTGTTATCATTTTACATTCTCAACAGCAGTACACAAGGGTTCCAATTTCTCCAAATAATCATCAAGTTAGTTACTATTTATGTACTAATATACTCATAAGTTAATTTCCTTTTTTTAAAAAAAATAGCCATTCTAGGGGCTGGGGTTGTGGCTCAAAGGTAGAGCACTCAGCTAGCACGTGAAAGGTGCTGGGTTCAATCCTCAGCATCACATTAAATAAATAAATAAAAGTATTTTGTCCAACTATGTAAAACTAAAAAATATTTTTTTTAAAAAAACATAGCCATTCTAATGGTATAAAGTGGTATATTGCTGTGGTTTTATTTTTATTTACTTAATTGCTAATAATATTAATCATATTTTCACATGCTTGTTGATCTTAAATTTGACAACGATTTCTTGGGTATGGCATTAAAAGCATGTGAAAGAAACAAAGAAATAGATAAATTGGACTTCATCAAACTATACTACAGAGCAATAGTAACTATACTAAAAAACAATAGTAACAAAAACAGCATAGTATTGGCACCAAAACAGACTGGTAGATCAATGGTATAGAATAGAGGACACAGAGACTAACCCACAAAATTATAATTATCTTATATTAGATAAAGATGCCAAAAACATGCATTGGAGAAAAGATAGCCTCTTCAACAAATGGTGCTGGGGAAACTGGAAATCCACATGCAACAAAATGAAATTAAACCCCTATTCTCTCTCACCATGCACAAAACAACTCAAAACAGATCAAGGACTTAGGAATAAAACCAGAGACCGTGCGTCTAATAGAAGAAAAAGTAGGCCCTAATCTCCATCATGTGGGATTAGGCCTCAATTGCCTTAATAAGACTCCTTTGGCATAAGAATTAAAATCAAGAATCAATAAATGGGATGGACTCAAACTAAAAAGTTTCTTTTCAGCAAAATAAATAATCTGTGGGCTGGGGTTGTGGCTCAGTGGTAGAGTGCTTGCCTAGCAAGTGTGAGGCACTGGGTTCAATTCTCAGCACCACATATAAATAGATAAAAATAAAGGTCCATTGACACCTAAAAAAATGCATAACTTTAAAAAGAAAGAAAGAAAGAAAAAAGAAACTATCTGTGAGGTAAATAGAGAGCCTAAATCATGGGAGCAAATCTTTACCCCTCATACATCACATAGAGCACTAATCTATGAGTTTTTTGATAATGAAATCAAAAAACTCCAAAAAAATAATAACCCAATCAATAAATGAGCCAAGGACTTGAACAGACACTTCTCAGAAGATGATATACAATCAATCAACAAGTATATGAAAAAATGTTCATTATTGCTAGCAATTAGAAGAAATGCAAATCAAAACCACTCTAGGATTTCATCTCACTCCAGTCAGAATGGCAACTATTATGAATACAAACAACAATAAGTGTTGGTAAGGATGTGGGGAAAAGGTACACTCATACACTGCTGGTGGGACTGCAAATTGGTGCAGCCCATATGGAAAGCAGTATGGAGATTTCTTGGAAAATTGGGAATGGAACCACCATTTGACCCAGCTATCTCTCTCCTCGGTCTATACCCAAAGGACTTAAAAACAGCATACTACAGGGACACAGCCACATCAATGTTTATAGCAGCACAATTCATAATAGCTAAACTATGGAGCCAACCTAGATGCCCTTCAATAGATGAATGAATAAAAAAAAAAGTGGCATATATACACAATGGAATATTACTCAGCAATAAAAGAGAATAAAATCATGGCATTTGCAGGTAATTGGATGGAGTTAGAGATGATAATGCTAAGTGAAGTTAGCCAATCCCAAAAAACCAAATGCCGAATGTTTTCTCTGATATAAGGAGGCTGATATAGTGGGATAGGGAGGGGGAGTGTGGGAGGAATAGACGAACTCTAGATAGAGCAGAGGGGTTGGAGGGAAAGGGAGGGTGCATGGGGTTAGAAATGATGGTGGAATAGGATGGTCATTATTATTCAAAGTACATGTATGAAGACACAAATTGGTGTGAATATACTTTGTATTCAACCAGAGATATGAAAAATTGTGCTGTATATGTGTAGTAAGAATTGTGATGCATTCTGCTGTCATAAATAAATAAATAAATATCACAGGTGAGAGTATAAAATGATATAGCTGCTGTGGAAAAGTGTGGTGGTTCTACAAAAAGCTAAACATAGAATTACCCATAGGATTCAGCAATTCTACTCCTAGATATATACACAGAAGAATTAAGCACAGGTATTCGAACAAAAACTTGACCAAAATGTTCATTGCAGTGCTATTCATAGTGCCAAAAGGTGGAAGCAACCCAGATGTTCAACAGAGGAATACACAAATGAAACATGGTGTATCCATAGGTGAAACAGACTGAGGCACCGATCCTTGCTACAATGTGGAAGAACCTCAGAAATATTGTACTAAAAGAGAGAGGCCAGACACAAAAGGCCCGGCACTGTGGATCCCATCCATATGAAATATCCAAAGAAGGGAAGTTCATGGAGACGCAGATCCACGGTTGGCAGGGGTCCTTGGGAGAGAATGGGGAGAAACTGCTCACAGAGCAGGAGGTTTCCTTTGGGGGTGGTGAGCATTATTGGGAAATATTGTGCAGGTACTAGATGTCACTGAAGCATACCTGTTAAAACAGTTAATTTTATATGAAATGTCACATCAAC